GGGAAAGAGCAGGTGGTATCCTGCATGTGAATATGAAATCTGTCCTGTCAGGTGAAGTGCAGAGGTCACTTCCAGGCTGAGAGGAGTATGTTTTAAGAAGGAAAGAAGGAAGAAATGCCCTTTTTTCCACTATGGGAGAGTATAAATGTAACTGTTGTGCAGTGTGGTTTTTGGGTTACTCTGACTGGGAATGAGGTTACTGTATTTAACACACCCGAGTGCTTCTTTTGATGGAGTTTCTTGCAACCATTTTTGTTTTCCAGCTCCTTGCAAGTGTTCACTGATAGCCCAGCGAGCAGAAGTGTGTGCTCTGATGAAGAACTACCAGCAAGCTCTGCACGACGCAGATGCCCTCTGCCGAAACAAACCCCACTGGCCTGCGGTACGGCGCCTGCCTGTCGGAGAGACCCGAGCCAAAACTGCCCCTTCCTGGGGCTTCTCTCTGGGGGGGGGCAGTGCTGAGGAGGGTGTTGTTGGAAGAACATCACAGCATTGACAGTGCTGAAAAAGTCTACCGACTGTCTTTGACAGTCTGCTGGCCAATGTGTCTTTCTGAGGAGCACCCCAGACGGGAGGGAACGCAGGAAGTACAGGAGGAAGCACGTGGTGCCCACATTTACTCCTGGCTGCCTGAGGCTAGGCTGAGTGTCCAAGAGCTTGCCCCACCTAGGGTTAAACCTCCAGTCAGTCCCTCACCCATCTGTAGCAAAACTGCAGCACAGGTTTGGCCAGACAAAGCCCCTGGATGCTACCTGGAATGAGAGTAGCACAAGGAATTGGGGAAGGATTTTAGGTAGACCTTGGTTTCTCTGCAAGAACTAAGGAGTTATTGCATGAACACCTTGACAGCCTCTCTGAGCACGAAGGGCAGCAGCTAGATCTCAGTTTCCAGCTGGGGAAGATGTAGGACAAGCAGAGATGTGCTGTTTGAAGCATCTAGTTTCTGCCAAGTTAGATACTTGTCTCTGAAGGCTATCCGTCTTGTCGTCAATTAAAACCTTTGTTATTTGAAGCCAGGTCATAATCTTCCCCTTGCCTCCAGTTTGCCTTTCTCACTTAGGACCATTTCTCATCAAGTCAGGAATCCATCTCAGGTGGCATTGGCTGGGTTTCTGTGTGGAGGGAGAAAGATGAATTACATACATTCAGATGTTTTCTTGAAGCGTCTCCTCTGTTTGCCTTGAATCCGTGGAAGTGTGGTGCATGTCAGTCGTAGGTGGATAAAGGTTTCATTAATCACATCTCTGAAGAATGCTATAATTGAAAATGAAATTTGTCATCATGGCATAACAAGCAGTTATGGCACAGACACATTTCACCTGTGCTTGCGTGTGTATGAGAACTTACATAAGCCACATTGATCCAGAATCCATGTTCTCCAGGAATTCTGGGCATCTACTTTGTTTTGTATCTTGTGGCAGAGATTAGCTCAAACATGTGCAGTGTAGTTAAAAAAGAAAAAAAAAGTAAAAATAGACCATAAAATTAAACCCATCCTGGGAGTAGCTCCTGGGAGGCAAGCATTCACCTCCTAGTAGCTTTTTGGCTTATTGATAGGTGAAATGCAGTAGCTCACTGAGTTACTAGTGGTGAACTTCTTGGGTCCACTGTAGTCATTAGAGCAAAACAAATTGGTTTCTGTTCAGTTGCTATGAAACCCAGGTCCTTGAAGTCTCTGAGACAGGGAGAAGTTTCCTGTTGTACCTCTGTGTGGTGGACAGAAACAGATGACCTGCTGCTCAAGGTCCTACTTGGACCTTACCCTTCAATCTAGTGCTTCTCAGGGCCATGTGAATATAGCAAAGGGAAGATGGCAGCAGTAGTCTCTGAAGTGTAGGGGCCTCTAGTGCCTAATTTCTCATGTTGGATCTTTAGGTATTTTTTCCGTAGACAGGCCAACTGTCCTTGATAAGGAAATGTCCTTTGGAACCACAAGAGCAGAGGCCAAACAACCTTGTAGCTTCCCCAGTGCAGTGAAGTAATCTTGACAACAGTCAAGCATGTTAGGACCTCCGTAAAAAGGTTTCACAGAGGCTGTGCAAGCATCAAGATCAGAACGTCAGGGTCAAGCCTCATGGTACCTTCTCCTCTCACTGCATTCAGGAAAAGATAAACATATGTCACCTTGAGAGGCTGGTGTGTACTGAGACTTCTTGTTCAAGTCACCAGATGACGTACATCAATTAACCTGTCCTACAGAGTACCACTTACTTGCTTTTGGTACGAGCCTCCTTCTTCCTGACCGTAGAAAGATGTTAACGGGCCTCACCTTGAAGGGCTGTATTGAAAGAGTGAGGGAGGTACCTGCTCAGGAAGATGATGTGATACTGGATCTTTTGGCATTAGTATGAAGGAACAGAAAAGTGTATCTGCTTATCTAACCAGTCTCTTAGGCCAGTGAAATTGTCCTTTCAACACAGGCTAGAGATACTCATGTGGACCAGGGGGAGACTTGCAGATCACATGTTTAATAAACAAAAGGCAAATGCTTGAATGCACACTTCGTTTTCATTGTTAAGGAAATAATTTCTGCTGTCACTTTTGAACTGCAGATTGATATCTGCAAGGAGATTCAGAGGTGAGGCACTCCTTTCTTACTACTAGTAACAAGTAAAGTAGGACTTGTCCCCAAGCTGACTACCATACTTCTTGGCTATGGATATGTTACTCTAGGACATGGGAGAGGTAGGATGGACTAAAAGGATTCATGTTAAGCATTGGCAAGTTTCCTTAAATTCACAGTGTTGTTGGTCTTCTCTAGCCAAGTAAAACAGGTGAAAAATCATCTCTGTCCTGAGAAGACACCCAGGAGAAGTGAGAGTGTCCTGAAGCTAAAATCTTTTGCTCCCTCAGCTGCCACCTCCAGCCTGCTCTATGCCACTGCCTTTCCCATGCAGCTTCATTGCTGTTAAGCTAGCCCTGGTATGTGAAACAGTTCTCTGGGGTATTGAGCCCAGTGGGATACGTAGTACTCTCAGTCTCTGGGGAGATCCTCAGTCTGGGTCATATCCTCCATGAGGAAAAGAGTGGTGTCTTTGGCAAGGAGTGATGCAGATGTAGGTTCCTTGGGGTTCTTCTTGGAATGAAAGGGATGAAATTCCCTTCAGTTGTGTGTGTCAAAGAGGCTGTCACCCAGAAGGTGTCTTACTCTTCACCTGCAGAATGGTGTGAACGTCCAAATTTGTTTGCTGGTGTTTTACTGCCACTTCAGAAATTATCTTTAGATTTATATGTTTCCTGTGTGAACAGGGCCATTATGTGAAAGCAAAAGCTCTTTCTGGATTGGAAAGGACTGAGGAAGCATTGAAGGAGTTTCTCTATTGTGTTGCCTTAAATCCTGAATGGAGCTCAATGAAGAAAGAAGCCCAGAAGGTATGAAATATATTTACTGGCCACTTCTTGGCCATAACGCTGCTCTTAGTCCTGCAGCCAGGTAAAATTTGTGTTATTTCAGGTGACGGTTAACTGCCAAAGGATAATTTGATTCAGTAAATTCTCCAACAAACCTTATTAGCCTTGTGCTGTGTGGGGCACTGGTTGAGTTTGGTCGATGCCTCAACCAGAGGGATTGTATGTTTGTGGATTCCACTGCAAATCTGCAGGTTTGGCCACTGTCATTTGTAGAACACACTTGCAGTATGTTGGCCAGATTTGAGTACACCTGAATTTCGTAGGCTCGAGGCTGCATCGAGTTCTCTGTGACCATCCATACAGACAGCCTTTCATAAAAAGAAATGGGGATTTGGCAAGGTGCTTGATGGGGACTGATGAGAGCAGAAACAGGCTCTACACAGCTCTCAGCTAGGGGTAAAATCTGCCTGAGGACAGAGGAGATGGATGCAGAGCATGAGGAGAGCTTAAACACATCTCTGTTAATTGATTTTGGTAGGAGAGCATGGGATGAAGACTTGTGGAGGCAGGGGTCTGAGGGGCAGTGTGGAGATGGGTGGGGGCAGGAGAAGGATGCAGTAGACTGCCACCTTGAGTGCTTGTGGAGAGCAGAAGCCTTCGGGGAGGGAGGTGGATGCCAGAAGAGCACCTTGGGATGTGTCAGTGGTTGTGGGGGGCATTGCCATCCAGGGTTTCTGTGCACGTTGGGGAATGCAAGATGTTCTGGTTGTTGCAAGCTTCTCGACAGCCAGAAGCTGTGAAGTCTGTGTATCTGTTTTCATACAAACATAAGTATCTATGTTGTAATTATTTTTTATTCTGTTTTCTTGTTTGTTTGTTTTTTCCTCCCCAATTAACTAGATAATGTGTGAGATGTTTTTCCCAGCCTTTGAGAATGTGCATGATAGTCTAACAGCACCTTTCTCTAGTCGAACATCCCATACAAGATTGAAACCTGCATTTCTGAGCAGCATAAACACGCAGTCAGCTGTGGAAGATAGCTCTGTTGCTGGGTCCTCAAAGGTAAAGTGTTCAACATAATGCCAAAAGTAACATGAAGTTCTGTATGACATTGTCTTTGCTTGCACTCAATGTAGGCACTTACTTTCATGGTAAGCCTGCTTTCTCTGTTGGTGTAGGATCTCTTGTTGGGATGTACTTCCTCAGAAGGATAATAGAATGAAACCTTTTCTTCATAAAACAGTGTGAAGCCTTCATGTGAGGGTCAGTGATACCTGTGGGCATTTCTTTTCCACTCGGGATTTCAGTGTGACAGGACTGTAATT